ATGGAAAAGTCCTGGAAAGTGAGACTAAGGCTGAGGGTTTCTTGTGATGACTTTCCTAAGCCTTAGTCTCACTTTGGAGGGCTCGCCCTAACCGGTTTGGCTCATGGATAGAGCATCAGCCTGCAGACTAAAGGGCCCCAGGTTCGATTCCGGTCCAGGGCATGTACCTTGATTGCGGGCACATCCCCAGTAGGGAGTGTGTAGGAGGCAGCTGGTCGATGTTTCTCTCTCATTGATGTTTCTCTCTCATCGATGTTTCTAGCTCTTTATCCCTCTCCCTTCCTCTCTGTAAAAAAAGCACTAAAATATATATTTAAAAATGGAAGGCTCGATCTGGCCTGGTGGCTTGGTTCATTGGTGGGTCACACTGTGCAGTAGGAGATCGTGGGTTTGATTTTGGTCAGGGCATGTACAGGAGCAGCGGATGTCTGTCTGTCTCTCAATCTCAGGGGACAAATGAAGGGGGGGAAAAACCAGAGGTGGATCCATCTTACCCACAAGTTCCAGGCCCTGGATGGAAGGCCTGCTGCCCAGTAAGTCTACAGATGAGTGCTGGGATTCCTGGGATCCACAGAGGAGCCCAGGTTCTGGCTGCCTGCTTGTGTATTTTGGTGTGATTTCCCACCAAAGGGAAAGCATGCGTGAAGATGGGCACCACTAGTGCAGCTGAGACCCAAATGCCAGACTCAGAAAACACAGCGCCCCGCCCTCCCAGTGCAGGTGAGCAGCAGACACGCACTCGCTACCCAGCAGCACTTGCACGCTGAGATGCAGCGCCCACAACATCACGAGGCCGTTTCTCATCAATTGATGCAACTCAGTAATTTTTATTGCAACTGGAAGACAATACATCACAGAAACTTTATGGTAGGTCTGGGGAAAAGTGTTATTTACAATAAATGATGAAATAGTTTGTCTTTGGCAATATGATTACATATGAAGAATGCGAAACGCAAGGATGGATACCTCCAAAGCAACACCATCAGGTCCCTCAAGTTCAGCTGATTGAGCCTGCCTCCTCCCTGCTGCGGAACGCGGACGCAACGGTAATGCCACCTTCCTTCTCCTCTGCGGCTCTCCCTTCCTAGTCATGACATTGGCAGTTTCATACAGAAAATACAGAAGAGAAAATTGGCGTTTGAACACGTATGACTCTAACACATTAATTTGGCCATGTAGGTCTATTGGCCAGCAAAGGTCAGAAGGTCGACCCTAAGACTTGAGAGTAAACCTCTGGGTCTTCTGATTGCTTTATCACTGTTATTTTTTTCTGCAAAACAAAAACACATCTCAGAAGTGTTACAGAATCAAGAGTATATATATATATATATTTTTTTTTTTTTTTTGGGGGGGGGGGGGGGGGGGGGAAATGGTACAAGTGTAGAATACTTCCCAGACACACAGGGATACTGTCTCCTCCACAATGTCAGCATGGCAGTGAAAGTAGTGAGTGTGAACGACACGGCATGGAACTGGATACTGAACCGGCTATGAGTTTGGATGGCCTCAATGTACATTTGCAGGAGAAGCTGAATGTTTACAGAACTAAAATGGTGCTAAGTTTCATCTTAAAATAAAAAATAAAAAGGGGGGGGGGATGTCGGGGAACTCAGGGCACAGTCATGAAAGGATGAAATACAATGTCTAGGTTTGATAGGTTCGCCATATCGAAGTCGTCGAGAATCCAATATGGAATATTAATTATTTGCAAACGCAGGGAAGGCAGTTCTCCGCTTTTGCAAACGAAACACAGTGGGAAACACTGTTGTGTATATCCCCTATAAATACTCTTGATTTCAACGCTAACGAAACGAACAAGACGGGGACTTGGGAGCACATCACCGTTGGTCAGAAGTGCTCGTTTGCCTAGGTCTGACTTCAAAAGGATACAGCACCATACACACATTGGTTTCGGCTGTGGAAAGATGGATGGTTTTTTAAAAATCAGATTTTTCCCTCCTAATTTTTTTTTTTTTTTTTTTTTTTTTGGTCGGTGAAGCTAGCACTTGTTTGTAGAACTGTGGAAGAATGGCAAGGTCACACGCTTTATTTTTTTTTCTCCATGATAAAGCAACCGAGCTGATGAGTCTGTGCTTGATTCAAGGATGACCAGTAGGAGAGAAAGGAAACCAGGGTGGGCGGGTGCTCTCTCGAAGGGAGAGGGGCTGACAAGTGAATTTCACAAAGGTGGGTGGGTCTATACAGAACACTGAGTGCTGTGTGTAAATCCTCGTGAGACTCCGGAAACAGGAACACCACACAACGTATACACTTTGATTTACACATTCCGTTACAAAGGGAAAGAGAGAGGACACCATTACAACTGTGTAACTGCGTTAACTGCAATAGAAACCAAAGTCCCGAGTTTGGCAGGTAACTAAGAGAGGGTTATCCACGTTGGTTATATAGCAAAAAGTGTGGATGTATATTATATATAGTAGTATAAATAATAAAAAAGTATTATTTAAATTAGATCACAGTGCTGCATTATGTGCATAACAGTGTTTGATATAGTATTGGAGGGTCGGGACCTATGACACTAAGGATTTAACTGTCAACACTGGTAAGTCACAATTGGGGGGATGTGAGGGGGTGGGGACAACAACACAGAGTTCATATGTGTTCTTTTGGTGGCAAAAAAAAAAAAAAATCCTGAAGATGAAGAAAAAACACTTCTCTACAGAAACAGGAAACTAAATCGCAACATCTGGGCAGCTGTGATCCACCAGGAAGGACTCCCCACCTGAATCAAGTTTAAAGGGAAAGAGAAGTCACATGGAACCCATCCAGTCCCATAGGGAAGACCCTCCCGTGTAGGTCACTCGTCCGCAACTCTGCCTCCTTCTCCAAGAGCCCTCCTGCCAGAGGCTCCAGGCCTGCAGGCTGAGCAGTCCCGGGGTGTGCCAGGGAGGAGCCGGGCACAGGAGCCAACCAGGCGGCACCCACTCTGCAGAGCCCACAGCCACATGCTGCCCCTCAGGCAGGAACAATGCTCTTTTGCAGGATGCCCCCTGGAAGGAACAGCTGGGCCCAGGCCCAGTGCTTCTCCAAGGAAAACCAGTTCTTGGGAAAGGCCTCTGACACGCGCCTTCACACACACTCGGCAGCCGCAGCGGTCTCGGCCACGGCTGTCTCCAACCACCCTCTCCACGAGGGCCTGGGCCACCTTCAGGTAAGACAACTTGACCAAAGAACTCTCCAGATACCGACTCAAGGCGGGGGGAGGGGACATAGGAGCTTATGGTAGAGTATAAGGCTGGGGAAAAAAATCTATGACGTAGACAAAGCCTTTCCACAGAGTACTAGTAGGTAGAGATAAAAGACCACTGTTGTAGCATAAAAATAACTGTCTATGTGTATGTCATTTAAGGAAAAAGAGCGATGGCCTCTTTCTCTTAAATGTGTCCAAGGGCCAACAGCAAGTAACGGCAGATGCCTCGGTGCTGAAGTGTTCACTGCTTTCCCGAGCATCTGGAAATATTGCTATAGTTCCCCCCCCCCCCCCCCAAACCCCGTGAGTAGGTGAGATACTGGAATGAATGACACGTGAAAACGCCACGAAAGCCAAACCGCCGCACCACTCCTTGAATGGAGCCCGGGCGACAGGTTGGACGGATGGATACACAGGCTAGTGCGGAAGCTACAGGACACCGGACGTGTTGGAAGGAACTCCGAGACTAAAAGTGAAGGACACGCAAGCAAAATACTCTTTCACAAATAGGCTTGTGCTTAAATTCTCTGCTGCTCCGGGAGGAGGGGTGGGGAGGGGCGCTCCTGTCCCCCCCTCCCCCCCCCAATGGTGAGGGCGTGGACAGCTTCCTTCGGCAATGAACTCACTACAAACGGCCACATACACATTGATTATTCCCCCCCCACCTCCCCCAAAACAATCGAAAATACAAAGTTGAAACACAATTGAGCCATTGTTTTGGTTATGCATAATGCGTATGCCCCCCAAAACAGAAGGAAAATAGAAAAAAGTACCCTCACTAAAGTCTTCCCTGCAAGTCCCCCCGGCGGACCCCACGGAGGGGCCGAGGGAGCTCAGGAAAATAACACTTAGAAAGCTGCCCAATGAGGTATTTATGCAAAAAGAGTGGTTCTGGAGTTGAGAACGCACTTTTGTAATAAGAGAGTTATCTAATTCTCAAAAAGAGATCAGAAAAGTAAATCACACACATTGCATTTTATTATTTTCTAAAGGAGGCCTTTGCTCCTTTAGAAAAATGAAACGAGGGGAGACAGCCCACCGGGAGGGGGTTTGAATTGGAAGAACCCCCCCAATCCCTCACCAGAAACAGTCCTGAACCTGTATCTGCCTTGCTGGAGGGAAGTCTGCATTTTACCTGGGGGTGGTGGTGTTTCCTGGGCTTGATCATGTGACAACACAAATCCGTGTCCCTCAGGTTTCAGAGCTGTGCATGGCTTTTGGGGTGTCCAATGTTGGGTGAGATGCTACATCCTGACTCCCTCCTGACCCCTGACCGAAGATGCTGGAAGAGTTCAGGTTCAGACAACGAAGTTGACCTGGTGGACTTCGGGAGGCACACAGAGTTCCCTGCCCTTCACCCCATGGACAGAGGTCCTGGGCTCTGTTTTTTTAAAAATCAACATGACTCACTTCCATCCCTCTCCCTCCTATCCTGAGCCACAGGGAAGATCATATTCTCTGGAGGTTTCTCTTTGGGGCTCCCCAGTTGTGTCTAGGCAGAGAGAACCGGAGTCTCTGGGCTGCGGGGCATCGCCCTGTGGTCTATATGTCACTCCCACAATCTAGATGGGCTGACTTCCAGGCTGGTTCGTGTGCGGAGGTGGTCGAGACAGCCGGCCCCTCCTTTCCACGGTGACAGGCAGTCACAGGAACACGGCGGGGCCAGCCCTTCTGACACCTGTGTCGCTTCCCCCTTCGCATGACCCCTCACTCACACCCTCCTCTCGTAAGGCCCGTCAGCGGGCTTCCCTTCTCCTGGCGAATTTGCATAATTATCCACTGCCTCTTCCCTAGGACCAAATTGTGGTGGTGGTTTCCCCCAGCCAGCGTCCCCTCATTCTCTCGATCCTCTCATACACACTCGCTACAAAGAAGTTGGCCCTCAAATTATTGCGTCGTGATACACATGTCCGGACGGGAGAGGACCCTTTCCACAGAGAGGCAGAGGGGGGTCGGGGCTGAGGTGCAGACAAGGCAGGCCCTACCGGAACGCGAAGATAGTTTTATATTGCAGAGTTAGTTCCCCAACAGTCAGAATTTGTCCCTGAAGAAGGTTAAACCTTAAACACCTGCTTCAAAAAAAAAACAACAAACCAAAACAAAATAACTGGGGGGGAAAAAAAACCAAAAACAAAAGGAAAAAACAAAAGAAAAACCGAAAGAACCTCTAAGCCTAAGGGCTTCAACATGAGAGGCAGAGCCTTGTCTCTAGTTTCTATATTTATATGAAAATAATTCATGCTTCATGCTAAATACGTTATTTACCTTACAAGAACTTTATTTTCGAATAAAAAAAAGTTTTGTGTTTTTATGATTTTTTTTTTCCTCCTTTTTCTCTTAGAAGGAATCCATGCATCGTGGATCAGAAATTTCTGCTGGCTACAACGGGCTGACTGTGGAAATCACTGATTTTTGCAAAGGTGGACCCTGACGTTATTTGCAAACTCCATTTTGAGGGCAGTAGAGGAGTTTACTTTTGCCTTTTTGCCACATTTTTCTTTTTTTTTTTTTTTGTGTGTGTGTGTGTGTGTGTGTATCCATCAATGTGCCTTTCATCTTTCAAAAACAGACCGCCATACTAATGGCAGGCTCCATAGCTTTCTGCTTATTTGTTTTCGCTCGGATCAAATAGTTCTGACAGACAGAGAAAAGATTTGTACCATTATTTACTTCCTTGACAGCTATTGTAATTTCCTGGACTTGATTTTCACTTGGGCAGTTAAGAAAAACAGCCTGTTTGTGGCTTTTCTCTCACTCTCGTGTGTGTGTGTGTGTGTGTGTGTGTGTGTGTGTGCAGGGCCAACCCTTCAGGCTTATGGCTTGTGGAACATTCTCTGAATTGAAGATAGAACAGAATTCATTGATTAGGAACATCACTAAAAACTGACCCCATTTCCTTTCCTACGTCATTGACACCAGTGTCCGCGAATGGTCTGGTGTCCAGCGCGGGACACCTGGAGGCTTCAGGATGAAGGAGCACCGAGGCCCGGCGCCCCCGAATCCCCCGCCCCGCATGCTGAGTGGCAGCGCCCAGGGTTTCCTGGCACAGCAGGCTGCCTGGGGGGCGAGGGGCTCTTCCTTTCTCCCCGGGGACCTCCCGTGCATTCGCTCAGTGAACCCCACTGCGGGGAGCACATCCTGACCTGGGAAACCTAACGGTCGGGCCTGACCGATGGTGACTTTGCCTCGTAGGTGCCAGACACGGGCCTTCCGCCGCATCCTCCTCCTGGCACCCCTGCGGACCCAGCCCCGGCCTCGGGCCGGCGGGAGGAAGCAATGATATCAATTTTGGCTTTTTCGGTTTTGTCTTCAGATAATGAGAGGCGTTTGTAAAAACAGCTGAATGTCAATGAGTCTATGGCTTCAATCTCCTTTAAACATAAAATTCTCAAGGGTCCAAAACAAAGGAGGTGGGGGAGGGGGGGGCAACTTAGAGAAGAAAAGAAAGCAAAAAAAAAAAAAAAAAAAAAAAGAAAAAGAAAACCAAACCCAAAACAAAGAGAAAAAATAAAAATAAAAAAGAAATTGCTGATATTGCCACAAATCATTAGAAATCTCCTGACATGCTGAAACCAAATGGCCGTTCAGTTCAAAACAAATCAGTGACTTGTTTTTGTGGTGGTGGTTGGTTTTTTTTTCTGTTTTTTTAATTTTTCGTGGTCTCCTTCTGCTCTTTCTGCCCCTTTGCCGTCCGATTGGTGATGTTGTTCAAACAGGACCGGATCCCTGCCAAGTGCAGGAGCGACCCCGCCGCCTCCTTCATCTCCTCGTCATCGCTCTCGGGGGGCTTCTCGGTGCGTCTCTTTTTGAGGGGCAGCGAGTCGCTGGGGACCCGCCGGGCCTTGGCGAGGTGCTGGCGCTTCTTGTGCGGGGCGTCGGGGGGCGCCTCCCGGGGGCCATGCTTGTCCTCCTCGGCCTCGCTGTGGCCCCCGCGGGCCTGCGCGCCGCCCTCGCTGCCCTCCGGGGCCCCCTTGGCTGCCGCGGCGAGCTCGTCGTGGTCCTCGGCCGAGGAGGAGGACACCGAGTCGCTGGCGGGCGAGGTGCTCCGGGCGGCGGCCGCCTTGGCACTGCTGTAGTTGTGGTCCTCCTTGGGGTCCCCGCTGACCACCGGGGAGCCGCACGACGGCTCGCTCTCGGTCCGCGTCCTGCCGCTGCCCAGGCCGTTCCTGCGGGCGGGGACACGGGGGGGGGAGACAGAGAGGACACGGGTGAGACCGGGCGAGGGGGCCCCCCCCACCGCGGACCCCACCTCCCCGCTGCGCTCAGGCTGCAAGCCCCTGGAGGCGCAGGCTGGCCAGGCGCCACCGGCATGTTCGCTCAGTGTGTGCGGCTGATGCGCCCCAGCAACACCCTTCAGAGGCGGCAGCGATGGCAATGGGGTCTCCATCTGAAACCCCAAGGATGGAGCTGAGCTGGGCTTTGCAGACCAGCCAGCACGGAGGGGCAGACTGGGTACTTTCACGGAAAAATGCGCTGCTGCGTTAGGAAGACGGAAGGAAGCCGGTCTGCAGGGGACAAGAGGTGCCTGCCGTGTGGGGACCGTTATCTACCCGGGCTTCCCTCCCTCCCCCACTCATCCTGCAGATATTCGCTGAGCGCCCCCCACGAACGCATGGCCCTGGGAGGGTCCTGGGTGGGATCAGGTACAGACACCACCACACAGACGCCGAGAGGTGACAGTTAGACCACCGAGGAGGGCGCGCCCGCCAGGTGCCTGAGGATCTGCAAAGATGAAGCGGCATTGAACTCCAGAGCGGGTGTGAGCATCCTAACTGCACAGGTGCCACGAGGAGGACCTGACGTTCAGGGATTGAAGAGCCCCACAGCTCACAAGCAGCAGAGCCACGATCGAGCTCTTAGCTACCCCATCAGACCTGCTTCGCTCCCTTCTGATGCCCCCATGACTCAGTTCCCCGCCCTACATCCCCCTCAGAGCCCGATAGCACCCGCCACGCCTGATCATTTTATCGCCTCGTCATGTCTAGCAATGAGCAGACCTCCTCTGTGCTTCCTCAGCAGCCGAGTGGGAACAGAGACTGCACCCACCCCCCGGGGTCATGGGCCTGGGACGTGAGCGAATGCCACCAGGAGTCTGGACCAGCGCCTGCTGTCAGTGCCAGGGCTGTGGGGCCAAGTCCCAGTGAGGCCGCACACTCCTTGGGGTGGGCGCTGATCCTGTTTCCATGGCCACTGTGATACAATGGCACCTGGCCCAGCAGGTGCTTAGGAGGCTGGGTGATCAGAGAGGTGAGTCCTCGAGGGAGGGAAGGGCTACTTGGAGTGGAGGGGGCAGAGGAGGCCGCAAGCAAAAGGTCTGCGGCAGAGACGGCTTCTGAAGCCGCAGGCGAGGGCTGAAGGCTTGGGGCAGGGAGGAGCGGCTCTGTGTCTTGTAAGCTCATCCACCTGAGGATATATTTCTAGGCGATCTGGGCGACATGAGCCCACTTTTCCTTCCTGCAGAACCCCAAGTCCAGGTCCTCCACAGAGAGGAGTCCCCATGTCACCACGTGGTGACCTGCTCCAGGTCTCTGCTTCCCATTGCAGCGTAAGCTCCGTAAGGCAGGGCCCCATCACTGGCACCTCCCCAGGGGCGTGCGCTGTGTGTGCTGCAGAGTGAACACACAGCAGGGAGCAGGAAGTCTGGGAAGATGACTGGGGACTCCACCAACACGCCTTATCGGACACTCCCTAAGGATAAGGCCCTGGAAAGGCGCTGGGCTCAGGCCCACAGATGAGCTGTAAGCCCCGCCCCTTTCTCTCTTGCCAACGGGGAGGGGGGGGAGTCGTCCCCCCCCCCCCCCCCTGCTATGGGCTCAGCAAGACTCTGGTTGCAGCCCCAACAGAAGCTGAAAAGGAGGCCAGTCCCTCTGGCAAATGGTGTATAGCAGGGAGTGAGGTCAAAGGTCTTCCTCCCTTCGGTGCCCTCCTAAATTTAAGCTGGTGGGAACATGCACCAGGTGGTGGCACGCACCCGCCTAGCAATGCACACCAGCAGAATACACGAGGGCCAGGATTAGGACTCAGCCTCTGCTAGACGCCTCAAGACCTCATGACCAGCCTCACCAATCACAACGTGTGCATCTGCACAAGGACGTCCCAGCAGGTTCCAGAAGGAACCCAGGCTGTCCTTTTCTCTAGGATCCCAGATCCATGCGACCCTTCCCCTCCAAGTATTTATAGAAAGAACCTGGCTTGTAAGACAGACAGACAGACAGACAGACAGTCAGTCACCCAGCAAGTTTACATGTGACCTTCAGTGCGCCCCTCTGCCTCCCAGGGCCGGGTGACAAATGAAAAGTCCGATCTCCTGTGCTCTCAGTGGGCACAGGAGAATTCTGACTTGGCCTTCCCTCATGTCAGATTGCTTGCTGCTGCACCGAGCTTACCCCGAGCGGTGCCGTTTCCGTCTGTTCTGGCTCGGGAGCCGCATGGGGAAGCAGCACAAAGTAGGAGCAAAGAGGCCCGAGGGAAGAAATGCTTCAGGGGCTTGGCCGTCCACACGGCCCTGAGCTGTGGGGAATGGCGTCTGTGTATCTGCGTTCTGCAGACTTCCTGCTTCTGGCTGCCTTGGGGGACGTAAAAGTGGCCGGGAGAGGATGCCTGCGAGGTGCTACCACACAGGAAGCTCTGTTCATGTACCTAATTGCACAGGCAGCTATTAATAGGCAAATGAAAACAGAATCTCCCAGAATGGCTCTCTCGGTCTTTGATGTTTCAGGTAACTACTGTTGAATCTAAAAATTAATTCAGGAATGAGTCCGCCAAACTAAGCAAGAAATCAGTTTCGGGGTGAACTCAACTACACTTGGGTGGTGAACGGGGCTTTCTTCCAGGCTTTTAGAAAAGCCAATTCAATCCTTGCCTTTTAATAACATGGGGCTTCTGACTCACTTTACTACCTCACTAAAGCAGACTATGATACCTCCCTGAACATCTGTGGAGAGGGAGGGAATTGTGAGTGCAGAAGAGTAGGAAATAAGATAAGTGCTGCAAAAATCTAATTCTCAGAGAATCTGGGGGAAAGGCATATGGTGTTTATCATGCTTTTCCCTTCTCTTTGCACGGGTTTAAAAAGCAGGTTTTTAAAATGTTTTTATTGATTTTAGAGAGAATGGGAGGGAGAAGGAGTGAAATATTGATGTGAGGAACATCAATCACCTGCCTCCTGCACGCCCCCTACTGGGGATCAAGCTCACAACCTGGGCATATGCCCTGACGGAGAATCGGCCTGTGACCTCCTGGTTCATTGGTCCCTGCTCAACCACTAAGCCACGGCAGCCAGGCCTAGCTGAAGTTTTAAAAAGCAAATCCTCTCCTGGAGAAAGGACCCCAAAATTAGGTCACGAGGATTTCCACAGATTAAGTTCAAGCAGATATTGGAAAAGAAGCTCATAACCTAAAATCACCAAACAGGCCACCGGGAACATATAAATGTAAAGATGCTTGTAACCGGCCAGGGCATGAGAATGATGGGACCCTCGATGGGCTCCCAGGAGAGGTAACGGCCTGCACAGGCGGCCGGTGCGGATAAAGTCAGCCCAGCCCCAGCCCCAGCCCCAGCCCCAGCTCCAGAGGGGACCAGAGACAAGAGGAGCCTCCCTGAGGATTTTTAACCACAAGCCTGAAGCCTTGTGGGTATGAAGCCAGAGTTCTACTGTGTGGACCAGAGACCGCAAGCTAAATTTAGTTTCAAGTGCCCAACGGTGCCTACTGTTGGAAAACACACACATAAACCCTCCTTTCTGGAAGGACCCAACTTGAAACTCAGACCACAGAGAATTCCCACGGATAACATTTTAAGAAACATAGGTTCATAATCCAAAACCTATTAAACATAAAAGAAAGAAGCCACTGTAAGCAAGAGACAACAGGAACACACACACAAAACTACAGATTCTGAACTGTGAGTCTACAAATGTTGAAGTAACTATAACTAGGTAGAGAAGATAAAGATGCATAATGAAATAAAAGGGAAGGGACTGGAACACACTGGAAAGAAAGAATAGATGATTAAAGCCAGACAGACAGATTCTGGGAGGCATCAGGTAGTTTCTAAAGCTGAAAAATAGAATCCCTAAAATGAAAGAACTCCGTGGGAGCAAGAAGAGAAAAATTAGTGCATTAGAAGACGCGTCTGAAGACTATATATATATATATATATATATATATATATATATGTGAAATGCAGCATAGAGAGACAAAGGGATGAAAAATATGAAAGAGAACATGGACTATAATAAGCTACCCCTCTAACCTGGAGTTCTAGAGGGGGGGAAAAATGGAGAAGATCCAATATCTGAATAAAAAATGGCTGAGCATTTTCTATAGTTTGGATGAGGGTAGCAATCCTCAGATTCAGAAAGCTAACAAAACCCAGGGAGAATAAATAAAATGAAATCCATGTCTAGACACATCACAAACTGTACAGCATTAAAAAAGCCACAGAAGCAAAACATACACCTAATGAGGTATACAGTAACATGAAGCAGTGAAACAGGTAAAAGCAGAACATTACTTCCAAAGTGCGAGACAGAAAAAATAACCGTCAATCTAGAATGTGTGTCTGGTAACACTCTCTTCTAAGAATAAGGGCAAAAGAAATGTATTTTCAGGGTTTTAAGTGAATGCAGATACTCACTAGGGGAAGTTTTTAAAAAATGTATTTCAGGAAAAAGGAAAATGACCCCAAAAAAGGAGTTTTGAGATGCAATAAGAGAAGAAGCTAAGCAAAGAAAATGTAATTAAGTATTGACTGAACAGCACAATAAAACAAAAAGAAACTAAAACAGAACCAAGTATTGGTCAAATATAGCATTTTATCTGGAAGGTAGAGAACAGAAGTGAGAATATTCTAAGGGCCCTGTATTGATCAGGAGGCTAGAGATATTGATTAACTTTAAACATTTAAAAATATTCATGTCAAAAGTTCCAGGATCAACACTGAAAGAAGAGAAACAAAATGTACAACTTCCAAACCATTAGAAAGGGAAAGAAAAAGAGAAAGGAAACGAGGAGTGAGAGAATCCTGACCAATTTCTAGTAATGCTAGAAAGAAAAAAAGCATCTGGAAAAAAATGGGACAGAAATGCAGAATAAATAGGAGAGAAAAAACCAAATACGTCATTAAAAATTGGCTAAAAATCTTTGTTAAAAGGTAAAGATCATT